AATATGATGTAAAGAGTCAAAATAACAATAAATGTAGCCTAAATAAACCCAATTTAGAATCCACTAGAGCCAAACCTAAGTTTTTTAATCAATTCAAGATTTACAGTGAATTTTTACATCAATAAATATATCGGTGATTATATTGGCTATCGGCAGCTCCAACTCCCATTATATCGGTTTCATATCGGCCACAACAAAATCCATATCGGTCGGGCTCTAGTGAAAACAAACAAGTGCAAGATGCTAGCGGCATAAGTTGCTAATGCTAACAACTCGATACACAACAGACAAACAGACTCACCAATCCCACTGTGAAATGGTTGCGCGGCTAGAACACTTCTTCTGCGGTGATATGAGACCTCTAAAACTTAAGTTACCATTTTAGTTTAGAGCGGATACATCAAAGACGAGTAAAAGTTTAATTTGCGTGGCTAACCTGAACAGCAGTCCTGTGGCTCCTCTCCCCAACTCCTGAATGAGGGAGAGCAGGCACAGGAGGCTTGTATAGGGCGCTGCGAACGATTTGATTGGAGGATCGCACGCTGTGTGCACGTAGCGGCACGTGACTTTACGTGGTTTACGTACAGGTAGAAATAATAAATATTTTATTCGACGTGGTTAGGCACATTTTTAGACCTGGGTTACATAAACAAATGGTCACTTTCAGTGAAGGCCATACAAAGTCATGCTGTAGCTATTAGGAATTACTGGTCGGACCCAAATATGCAGAGAGAGAGAAAAAAAAAGGTATTTTATTAACAAAAATAGTTGTGGAGGGGGGATAGATTCCAGGGGAGGCAGGACGGGTCCAGGTTGGCTGCAAATGGGAGGTATGAGGTGATGGAGGCTGACCAGAGGCTTACGGAAACAGGTGGCAACGGGATGAGGCTGGCTCCAAACGGAAGTGCTGGGGATAGGACAAAAAGAAACTGGTAAGTATCATAAAGTCTTTGGAATTCTCGAAAAACATAAAGTTGTTCAACACTAGAATGACAGAACGATCTGGCACTGAAGAGAAGGTCAGCAGGTCTTTTATGGCAGGAGATTATTAATTGATGAGTATCAGGAGTGGAGCTCAGCAGGTGCGCGATTGGGATCCGCCCAGGAAATGCCAAACAAGGTCAGGAAATAAGGCGAGGGGGAGCAGGATGAAACCCTCACAGTAGCCATCATATATAAAACTCTGGATGGTTTTTTAGATATATATTTTACACCAACATGTGTTCTTATTATCTCTAAAAAATATGATTCTCACCCTAACCCTTAACAATGATATTAATTCATTAAATTTATATAGTGCTTTTTTGTACAATTAAAGAAGCTTTACATTGCATTATTCACAGTATGCCCTGGTGATTGCCGATTTGATTTGTATTTTATTTATTTTTTTAAATTGCTATGGTATATTTTATGTAACTCAACTGTAATTCAATCAGTACATGCCTCACTCTCAAATCAATAGAAACAGAAACAGTGTGCTACTGGTCCTACAGGTTTCTGACTCCCCCGCAATAGACATCTGAAAGTGCTGTGTCATTCAGTGTGCTGTAGCTCCCACACATAAACAGACTGTTTTCTATTGGTCTATTGTAAAGTGACTACATTGGCCGTATATTTGTTACTGGACCTGCATTGATATGTAAATGAGGTGTGAATAGACGTGTGAATGATCCACATTTATTCATATAATTAACTACCGCGGTGCGCAGCATTTATGGCTAAAGGCTAATAGCGATAGTTTACTAGCTAGGAGTTATGGGTCGGTCGCGATCGAAGCGGCTCTTAGATCCGGCTCTTTGAAGCGAACAACGGGAGCCTGCTTCTTATTGGGAGCCGTGTTTTCTCTTTTTCTCACTTTTTCTCTTCATGTCGCATGTAGACCCGTAGTTTGACAGCAGCAGCGGCTGAAAACGAAACTTTCAGAAATCTGCGTGTGCATAGGATAAAAAAAGTGCATATTTGGCTGCAGTTCAGCATAAAATGAATAAACCAGGACTAATCTTGGGCTCGAGTGCAGGAGAGAGATAGAAACCGAGTCCCGACACTCAGTCCTGGTTCAGTTTTGGTTTAGTCCTGGTTGCAACAAAACAATGTCAAGAGTCGCTTGGGAGAGCCAGCTGCTTTAGTGAGGCGAGCCAAAAGAGCCGGTTCTCAAAAAAAAAAAAAAAAAAAAACTGGAATACCCATCACTAGCGGCTAGAATGTGATGCAAAAATGCCATTAGGCCAATCTACTGTATGTAAATATGATGTAAAGAGTCAAAATAACAATAAATGTTGCCTAAATAAACCCAATTTAGAATCCACTAGAGCCAAACCTAAGTTTTTTAATCAATTCAAGATTTACAGTGACATCACTAAATATATCGGTGATTATATCGGCTATCGGCAGCTCCAACTCCCATTATATCGGTTTCATATCGCCCATAACAAAATCCATATCGGTCGGGCTCTAATATAATATATATATATATATATATATATATATATATATACACACTGTTGGGCAAGTTACTTTGAAACTGTAATGCGTTATTTATTACCTATTACTGTCATTTCAAAGTAATTTGTTACATTACAATATTACTGCATTTAAAATGTAAGGCATTACATTACTATTGCATTACTTTAAGTTACTCTCACCAAAATAACTTTTGCGCTGTATATGGACTGAACCAGGACTAAACCAGGTCTAAACCAGAGCTGAACCAGGACTAAACCAGAACTGACCTAGGACTAAACTAGAACTGAACTAGGACTAAAACAGGACTCACTGTAGGGACGGGCTCGAAGGTGACCGCAGGAGAAAGGAGCGGCTCTGCTCCGCACCTCACGGAGGTAAGAGCGGCTGTTGCCCGATCGCTCTTTATGGACCCTGCTGCTCGGGCTCGTGGTCCTGATTTCAGCAACTATTTGCAGGTATCCGAGCTGGTGCAAGAGTCTGTTACAGCGCGTAACTTCTACCTTCCTTCAGCGTGTCCAGAAGTCCAACTTTTTGTGTGATGGTTTGCATCTTCCTCTGCCTTTTGGGTGCGAGCGCAGGAGCCTTTGTCGGTGCAGAACGTTTTGTCGACGTTGTGGGTTTCGTCGGGGAGAAAACTTGCAACCGTACAGCACTTCAGAATCACACTGATACAGATTGAACATGTATTTAAATTTGGAAGCTGAACACATTCTGTACTGTACTGTACTGTACAGGAGACAGGAGTCCCTTGGCCAGTCAGGACGCAGCGGGAGGAACACAATACGCATTCATACAATGTAAAAAAAAATAATAATAGGGCATGCAAAATTGCACAAAAAAAATAAAAAATAAAAAATCTGCGAGACAGCGAAAAGTGAACTGCGATAGAGGGAGGGACGAGTGTAAACCAGGTGTAAACCAGAACTGACCCAGGTCTAAACCAGGTCTAAACCAGAACTGACCCAGGTCTAAACCAGGTCTAAACAGCGTGGAGTTCTTTGTCAGTCCTTTCGCCCGCGGTTACCTGAAGGTCTACGAGGACGCATCTCCGGCGTTTCACCGCTGCTGATATCGAGGTGATTTTAGCGAATTTGTATGATATGTATATGTATGTGTGTGTGTGTGTGTGTGTGTGTGTGTGTGTGTGTGTGTGTGTGTATATATATATATATATATATATATATGTGTGTGTTGAAACTGGTTTCAGTCCATTGGCTCTGAACTCATGGGGTGAAAATGCATCAATTGCAAGATTCAATAATTATTAAATAATTCAATCTTTAATTATTGAATGAAAACCATTTTATTAACCCAGGTCTAAACCAGGTCTAAACAGCGTGGAGTTCTTTGTCAGTCCTTTCGCCCGCGGTTACCTGAAGGTCTACGAGGACGCATCTCCGGCGTTTCACCGCTGCTGATATCGAGGTGATTTTAGCGAATTTGTATGATATGTATATGTATGTGTGTGTGTGTGTGTGTGTGTGTGTGTGTGTGTGTGTGTGTATATATATATATATATATATATGTGTGTGTGTGTGTGTTTAAGTTTTTGATTAAGAAATCACAAACCTCTCATTATTGTAACATACTGAACAGATACAACCTGTTAAACTTTGACAATATGATTTTTTTAATTCTGGGATGTGTCTGCTCCATAGAATTCTCCACAATGCCCTCTTAAAGGACGGGGAGCAGCACTGTGCAGAGTTAAGATCAGAGCAGATCAGAGCAGATGAATAGAGCATCTTGCTCATCTGTAAATTCTGATCTGACCATTCCCTTTAAACATACTATAAACATACTGATTGTATTGTGCAGGTGTAGATGTATTGTGTTTGACCTTTGTCTTGATCGTGATGTTATTGATTAATTCTAGTTTAGAGGATAAAAATACTGATGAATTTGTATACATTTCTAGAGAATACTGATGACAATTTGAGGATGTTTAGAAGATAATGATGCATATTCAACCGTATGCAGAGCGCAGATCATGCCACTCATCCTCCCCTAGCCTCGGGAAAACCTCACTTTGCTCCTAGTTCATCATTTATGCTCACCATCTAGATCTGCATTACAAATTATTGGATGAAGCAGTGAGCTGCTTTTTCTAATGCATTTTTGTAAGTAGCTACTTTAATATTTTATAATCATATATAGCAGAAGGCCTATTGTGTGTGTAAAACTGGTCACATGACACAGCACACACACCCTTAGTTGTGAGTCCGCACTGAAATTGAAACTGGTTTCAGTCCATTGGCTCTGAACTCATGGGGTGAAAATGCATCAATTGCAAGATTCAATAATTATTAAATAATTCAATCTTTAATTATTGAATGAAAACCATTTTATTAACCTTTTTTTTTTACCTCTCTAACATAACTTATTGGCTATTTTGTGAGCAGCTTTCAGGATGTCTTGCCTTTTAAGTCAAGTTATCACTTAGGTTTATACCCAAAAGACACAAGGACTCAAAAACCTTTGATTTTGTTAAGGCTTGACACAAAAAAACACAATGCACACAAAAATAAGTAAGAACATTGATTATGATAATAGTTTATTTTAATTTTAAAACAAAAATGTGATTAACAAAACTTCAAGAGCTGGTGAAGTTAGGCAGGCTTGCTCCCCTATGTCTACCTTAGGGCAGCTATGGATATAGAAGCAGCATTTCACTAACAAGGGTCTGGTAAACAAGGCTAATGCAGAATTATTATTATTATTATTATATATTATTTTTCTGCTAAAAGACATACATAATGTGAAAATGAAACAAACTGCAGGTTTTTATACACACCTGGAAACAGAATGTGTGATGATAAATGTGCAGATCATGCTGTATTCTACAGTAGATGTGCCAGTAGATAAGACAGAAACATGAAGAAAAATGTATTGCCAAAGCTGATCTTGAGGGTTGCTCCACTTGATGCTGCAACACATTTATAAAATTGTATGATAAAACAATTATTAGACAGTTCAATATTTTTAATGGCCAATAATAAAGTAATAAAGCCAATAATAAAGCCAGTAATAAAATAACTATAATAAATTACCTGTGGTTGATGTTGTTGTGGTTGTTGTAGTTTGCGCAGGTGTAAAAGCTGAAAAAGAAAAACATGAATTAAAATAACCTAATTTGTATTTAAGATGTACATTGTTTTGTTATACATACAGTTCACAACAACATTCCCAAAAGTGCTATTCCCCTTCTGGAGAGAATCTGCAAGATTGTCAGTTGCTGGAAGATCGGCCACTGAAGCTGGAAATTTAATTGTCACATCTACTTCAGTGGCATTGACTCTGATCTGTTGTGCGGAGGATCTGTATTCAAAAACATCAAACCAAACACAAACATTAAATCACCTGAATGAGTCAGTAAATGCCAAAATTAAGTGTGCAACGTGGAACTGTAGTGTGAATATTTAGCAGATTGTCCCATGTTTGGAAAAGAACAAATGGTGAATTAATTAGTATTATTCACCTGTAATGAATTGGCTTAAATCTTACCTAAATCTGTTTACACTGCATACAGAACCTGGAACTTGATAGCTTTCGTCGAGTTTGGTTTTACACTAAAACAGGATCAACTGATTAATATGTTAAATTAGGGTTCACATATACATAATGCACAGATGTACTTACATTCTTTTCTACTTTGGATTTCAGAGTTTTATATTTTTCACTGGTAGGGTCTTCATAATCGGGTAAAAAGGGTTCAAACTTCAAAGTTGCTGTGACTTCATAATTTGATGTTGTGGTTGTTGGGGCAGTTGTTGTTGTTGTAGTTGTTGTGGTTGTTGGGGCAGTTGTTGTTGTAGTTGTTGGGGCAGTTGTTGTAGTTGTTGGGGCAGTTGTTGTGGTTGTTGGGGCAGTTGTTGTTGTAGTTGTTGGGGCAGTTGTTGTTGTAGTTGTTGGGGCAGTTGTTGTTGTAGTTGTTGGGGCAGTAGTTGTGGTTGTTGGGGCAGTTGTTGTTGTGGTTGTTGGGACAGTTGTTGTGATTGTTGGGGCAGTTGTTGTTGTGGTTGTTGGGGCAGTTGTTGTTGTAGTTGTTGGGGCAGTTGTTGTTGTAGTTGTTGGGGCAGTTGTTGTGGTTGTTGGGGCAGTTGTTGTTGTAGTTGTTGGGGCAGTTGTTTGGTTGTTGGGCAGTTGTTGTGTTGTTGGGCAGTTGTTTGTTGTTGGGCAGTTAGTTGTGGTTGTTGGGGCAGTTGTTATTGTGGTTGTTGGGACAGTTGTTGTGGTTGTTGTGGCAGTTGTTGTTGTGGTTGTTGGGGCAGTTGTTGTTGTAGTTGTTGGGGCAGTTGTTGTAGTTGTTGGGGCAGTTGTTGCTGTGGTTGTTGGGACAGTTGTTGTGGTTGTTGGGGCAGTTGTTGTGGTTGTTGGGACAGTTGTTGTGGTTGTTGGGGCAGTTGTTGTTGTTGGGGCAGTTGTTGTTGTGGTTGTTGGGGCAGTTGTTGTTGTGGTTGTTGGGGTAGTTGTTGTTGTGGTTGTTGGGGCAGTTGTTGTGGTTGTTGGGGTAGTTGTTGGGACAGTTGTGGTTGTTGGGGCAGTTGTTGTGGTTGTTGGGTTGTGGTTGTTGTTGTGTTGTTGTTGTGGTAGTTGTTGTAGTTGTTGGGGCTGTTGTGGTGGTTGTTGGGGTAGTTGTTGTAGTTGTTGGGGCCGTTGTGGTGGTTGTTGGGGTAGTTGTTGTAGTTGTTGGGGCCGTTGTGGTGGTTGTTGGGGTAGTTGTTGTAGTTGTTGGGTAGTTGTTGTTGTAGTTGTTGGGGCCGTTGTGGTGGTTGTTGGGGTAGTTGTTGTAGTTGTTGGGGTAGTTGTTGTAGTTGTTGGGGCCGTTGTGGTGGTTGTTGGGGTAGTTGTTGTAGTTGTTGGGGTAGTTGTTGTAGTTGTTGGGGCCGTTGTGGTGGTTGTTGGGGTAGTTGTTGTGTTGTTTGTTGGGGTAGTTGTTGTAGTTGTTGGGGCCGTTGTGGTGGTTGTTGGGGTAGTTGTTGTAGTTGTTGGGGTAGTTGTTGTAGTTGTTGGGGCCGTTGTGGTGGTTGTTGGGGTAGTTGTTGTAGTTGTTTGTTGTAGTTGTTGGGGCCGTTGTGGTGGTTGTTGGGGTAGTTGTTGTAGTTGTTGGGGTAGTTGTTGTAGTTGTTGGGGTAGTTGTTGTAGTTGTTGTGACCATTGTGGTGGCTGTTGTGGCAGTTGGAAGAGGAGTGGTTGTTAGGGCATCCAGAATTATTCCTTATACTGTCGTTACAACAAAAAAACATAATTAATGCTAAATCTATGAGCTGTGTTTTTATTTTTGCATTTTTCACCAAAATGCAGGGTAAATAATAATAATAATAATAATTATTATTATTATTATTATTATTATTGTTTTACCTACCCAGTACAATTAATAGCACTGTTCTGACTTTTTCACTCCCCATATTGTCTGCAAACCTTGATTAAAGAACACATAAAAACATACCTTTGAATAAGTTATGTTATAATGAGTCAAATTTTCAATTTCATTGAAGGTATAATAGTTAATAATACTCTCAAGCTAGAGCCAATAGTCCTCAGTTAGTCCTTGAGATGATTTAACTTGAAGTGCCTTCTGCAAATTGTACCACTTCTTTATATATTCTGATTGCAGTTGATGATGCAGTGACGTGCAGTTGGTTAAACATACATGGAAATCTAAGGCTCGTGATTCCAGTCACAGATGGCTTTTGCTTATGAAGACACTCCTTTTCTGTTATCTCGTGGTATTTTTTGCATGACCTTATCTTAAAATCTCTACAAATACATTCAGACTGATATGTGACAAAACTTGAACATCCACACAGACAGTGGGTTCCTCTTTTCTGCATCACTTGAGGAAAAACTAAAACTAAAACACAACTCCGCCCACGCCAGTCCATCAGGTTTGTTTTACCTTTATCAGTTTTCTGAAGATTTTGGGAAATCCCAAAAGTATAACAGGATTTGCAAAGTGTATATTATATGATAAAAAGGGCCTGTACCTTATTTCATCATCGGAACATGTTTCATGTTTTAGTCCTTTTTGCCTCTGTGATATTGCACCTCGACACAGAAACAACAGCCTGTGATGTCATGCAGTTGATTCTTTATAGTCCTCTAATCTCTGCTTAATATTTTCTTTTTTTATCACTCTTGAAAATCCACTATGACAGAGAACCAAGGTATTTGCTTACCATGATTCTTTGTAACAATGTGTCTGATTGGATGAAAACAGGTGACCCTGTCAGTAGCTACTTTATTAGATTAGAAAAATGCCATGTAAATGACTAGATTATATTTTACAGTCTCAATTTTGTTCTTGCAGCTTCTACAGTACAATGCTAAAGAGCACTGTGACAAGAATAAATTAAAATGAGATATAGGCCCTTTTAATACAATTTCAAGTTCTGAGAGGATAATCAACTTTCAACTCTATTATAGTCTCAAAGGGAATTTGGTTTGCAGCAGGTGTCAACAGACACACAGTACATCTACAATACAATAATTATCTATAAACAGCTTAAAAGTACCTTCCTTTTAAAACCAGGCAAACAATGCTTAAGAAAATGTAACTACATTTCATCATCAAATTCAGTCCTGAGCCATGGCATTCTCAGTTGCAGTTGGGCATTGCAAAACACCCTTCTTTTAGATGTCATTCAGCTGGGACTGCTGTAGGCCTATAATTTTACCTGCCACTTTGACCAGCTGAGCTACACAGTTTCTACTGGACACAGAGAGGGCATCAGACCAACGTACAATGCAAAATGTGAAAATATATTCAATAAAACTCCTATAAAATAAAGTCATAATAATATTACTGACATTAAAAGAGTTCTTTATCCTTAAAAAGAATTGCATCTGTGTTTGGTTTAAAGTATAGAGCAGCTTTGTCAATAATTGTCCCCAGGTAAATATATTCAGAGACAATTTCAATTTCTTTCTCATGAATTACAGAGTGAGTACCAGTAGGGGGTGTGTTTCAAAAGTTTACCAGCATGTTTTTTGTCCTGGACACATCACTAAACAAATAAAAGTGTTCACACATTCACACAGAAGAGACAAAAGACAAAGATTCAGCAAAAAATCTAATTATGAGTAGCAATTGTCTTTGCTCACCTGCTCACCTAAACTTTTGTCTAGTTGACAGAATTGACAAAAAGTTTTTGTTTGTTTGTTTGTTTTTCTTTGATCCTGGCAAGTACTGGTAGGTGGCAGCTCTGCCCTGCCACTTTTTTTTTCACCACTAACATTGATCCAGGAGACCTTTTCTCACAGAACCAGAGTTGATTCCCCCTTCGTCCGAGCGGATGCACCTCATCTCACATCACTGGCCAATTATTTCACATTGGTGGGTGGCTGCAGGGATGCCCTGTGGTGCAGATTCCTTGGTTGGAGCCCATCATCTTGGCAAGCAACAATATAGCAGCCAATAATGTAATAATGACGCCAATAATAATTTAAAAAACTTAAATAACTGCAACTACTAATGTAATAATTTCTTCTATATCACTTAATCAAAGATTTATTTATCAAATTAAAAGTGCCACACTACTTCAGAATGTATTGTTATTGTCTTTTTTTAAATAGCTGTTAGAAGATCTGGGGTCCGATCTTGCCCCCAGTCTTAGCGCTAAGCGCAAGTGGGCGTGTCCAGGTGGGGCTGTACTTCGCTGCTGGAGACTGGAGTGAGATAGTACAAATACATATATGGTGACAGATGGTGAACCAATCTGTGATCGCTGTGGCATTTAAAAGCACTGCACGTGTGGGTAAAGTCTGCAACCTTTGCCTCATTATCAGGCGGCAAAGCGAAGTTTGTGTTATATATGTGACAATAAAACAGCTCCGGAGCCCCATGAGGCAAGTACACACCAACAGAGGCAACAGGAATATAGAATTTTGTATGGGCCATGACAGAACTGACTGGGTTTGTGTTTCGAACGCTCCGCGTGCATGTGAGCCCCTCTCACGCACGTGCACCGCTGTAAGCCCGTGCACGCGCACACATCAACCTTTAAGACCAGTGTCTGTCTCATGCGCTCCCCATCCCACAGCTGAGCCGCTGCTTTCTCACACCCGCTAACGTCTGTCCCGCAGTCCACTCCCAAGGACTCACCTGAGGTACGAGTGTCCACCGCTGCTGCCGCTGACCGCTCACGTTCTCATCTCTGGGGTTCACCGCATTTGATCCCACACAGGTGGAAGTCTCGCGGATTATGGAATACGTTTATTGTCTCATAAATGTTTCTGATGTTACCGCTTTGCGCACAGATATGATACGTGCGTCTGCTCCGCTGTCACAGCCCCGACCTGTCAGTGAATGTGCTTGTTTTTGTTTTCTTTTTGTTGTTTGTTTGTTTGTTTTTTTCTACATAACTGTCACTCTCATCTAGCAGTCAAAATGATTTATCTATTCATATACTGTCATATCAAGATTTTTTGTATTATTATTAAAATGTGAAAAGGTAATTATTGATGGTGTTTACTTTAAAAAACAAAAATACTTTTCTTGTATCCTATATCTAATGGAAGATTATGTAAAATGTCCATATATTTTAGAGTACTCTCAAAGTTAACTATGTTAAATCTAGTAAACGGTCTGCTAACCATTAGCAACACTAGCATTCACTTTTCTTGGTTTATGAGAAATAATTGGATATAATTACTCTTTAGTATGTCTTAGTCAAAGTATGGGGAAATTAATTAGAAATTAGACACTTTTTGATGCCGCCATTTCGACATTTTTTTTGTTTCGGGACAATATTGTTAAGGATTGGCAGCAGGAG